TAAAATGGCCCATATATGTCTCGCCTTTCATTATTGTTCTTAACATTGTCAACGTACTCGTTTTTTTATCATATTTTGGAGCAAGTGACAGTCATTAATTTTATTTCTTGAGATAACCGCCCTTTGCTATTTCGTCTTGATGCGTTTGATAGTGTGACTGAGAGAACTAGAAGTTCAGTCAAATCAAGGCGTTCAAGTTAAATCACTAATGATAGAAAATCAATACGTTAATGAACTTCTGCTTTTAGCTGTCTAATAAACGTTATCAGATGATTCAGTGAATATATGTCGTATTCAGATCACAAAGGAGAGTATGGGAAACAAAGTACACGATGTGTCAGTTGAGAGACATTTCTGCACAAATTATGCATTTAGGATCTATACACACAAGCACACCACACATTATATATATATATATATATATATATATATATATATATATATATATGTGTGTGTGTGTGTGTGTGTGTGTGTGTGTGTGTGTTAAAGATAAAAGACAATAGGAAAACTGTATTATTAGCCGATGTGTTTCTTCCAATGTGGACTTTTTCAAAGAAAAAAACAAAATGAATTTATTTAAAACAAAGTAACTATTAACAACTAAATAAAATGTCCTTTGCAACTAGAAGAATTTAGAAAACGCTATTGTATTCATATTGTCAACTGAAAATTACGTCAAGTACTATCACATGTAGAAATATTGTTGTGCTGCCGGATTTAACAATTTTCTTTTGAGTTTTTGATAAATTTGTTTACGTTTGCTTGGGAATTGGTAATTTTGTTACGAAAGTTGATATTGGGAAAAATTCTAATCAAACCATTCTTCTAAAATTAAATCTGGAATTATTATACGTTAATATCTGAGAGCATTAATAATCAGCAGCCTCAATATTTACCTAAAGAAGAAAACATATAAAAAAACACATTAAAAAATCTACAATACCCATATCATTTCAAGAAGAAAGGCATAAAAAATTGCAAGAAGAAAGGCATAAAAAATATACAACCGAAACAAAACTAATAATATAATCCGTAATAATAAATTACATGACAAAAGATGCATAATACTACCGAACAACTCCGTCATGTCCACAATCAAGACAAACCTACCCCATCTAAATGATCTTAAAATAACCACAAATAATTCAAAAATCATTATGGATATACTCAGATCCTAAAACACTAATAGCAATAATATTTCTGAAGCAGGCATTTATAATACAAATCGCCAAAATTGTCTCTGCTAATATATTGGAGAAACAAACCGAAATTTAAAAAAAAAAAATCATCAATAAACACAAAAGAGACCCCAAAAATAATAACTTAGCTAATGTTCTAGTCATACGTAGAAATAAATTCAACCACAATTTTGATTTTAAATATGCTACACGGATAAAAAAAAGAAAATAACTCACTCACTAAATCCTCGAGAGTACCGCCATTGAATATTATCCATATATTAATCTACGCTCAGGCCTTTTCCCCATATCACCTTTAGTAACAAAATTGCCAATTCCCAAACAAATGTACACAAATCTATCAAGAAATCAAAAGAAAATGGTTGAATCTGTCAACACCACAATATTTCCATACATGCTAGTACTAGACGTAATTTTCAGTTGATAATAGAAATACAACAGCGTTTTCTAAATTCTTCTAGTTGCTAAGGACATTTGTTTTGCTATTAATAGTTACTTTGTTTTTAATGAATTCACATCTTGTTTACCTTGAAAAAGTCCACATTGGATGAAACGCGTCGGCTAATAACACTGTGCTCTTATTGTCTTTTACCTTTAACATACTGCCTTATTTTTCAGGTTAACTCTGAGAAATTTTTCATATATATATATATATATATATATATATATATATATATATATATATATATATATATCATCAGTGAATAATAGAGATTTTATGAAGACTTACATTTATAGTGATCCTTTCCAGTTGTCTAATCAGGTTCTTCATGTTGCGATGAAATTCACTGTAGTCTGCTTTAGTCTATTATAGTTATTTTAGAATTTTTAAATTCATGACTAGTAGTTATAGATTTTCTTTACAAAACAAGCATTTCAGTATCAAGGAGCAGACCGGAAATTGGTAGAAATCTATAACGGCGTTAATTTATATATGCACTTTAATATATTGTTGCTATATTCTTAATAAATTTTGTTGCATCTTAGTTGGTTGATTTCCATTTAGATTGCCACGAGAATTTGAAGATTTGTTTATTATTTTTATGGTGTAGCATATTGTTTCACTCAACAAGTAAATTACTGCACTGTGAAGTTAGATGAGAATGTGTTTATAAATGTTGTGCAATGTAATAAAAAATTTCATGATGATTTTGTGCGCTTCATACCAATATATGTAATTACTTTTTTGTTAGAGATACAATCTCCCAAAAGACTTTTAAACAGATAAATAAAATAAATAGACAACACTTGTCTATATTATTTAATGAAACGTGTATGGATATATATATATATATATATATATATATATATATATATATATTGCCATCCACAGACAGACTATTTCGCTGTATCACAGCTCACCAGTGTGGCTAGGAGCGAAACCCGTATGAATTGGCGTCAGTCGGGGATTCTACCACTAAGCCGTTGGCGCACGGCCGGGGGGAAAGTAAATTTTAAGTGCATTCATTTTTAGTGACTGAGAGAACTCAATTCGATTTAACGAAGAGTCCTGCATTATTAGCAGTAATAGACACTGTTTACAAACTCACACTTCCTCCCCAGAGAGCTCAACCGAAATAATTTTTTCAGGAGCATATATATATATATACATATATATACATATATATATATATATATATATATATATATATATATATATATATATATATATGATGTTTACATGTTTGCATAAAAATAAATATCAACTGAATAACGTCAATCCAGATTAATTTTTAATATAATTTTTTTTAAAAGAAGCAATAATCTCCTTTTAAGCTTAATATAAAAATAATATTCACAACTCATTTTAAAAAAGCTGTAAACCCTGTATAATATATGCGACTTTCAACTCTGCGGTAAGCAGACTTTTATCAAATATAAATTACGTAACGGTCAGTCAGTACCTGAATTTGTGTTGAAACTTCGAGTCATGCTATCGGTGAGGGATAATATATATATATATATATATATATATATATATATATATATATATATATATATATATATATTTAAAAGATATTTTTGTAGGTACAAAATTTAATGATCGAAATAAAAGTATAAAACTTAATATTACGAGACATATTAAAAAAACAACAATAATAATATACCTCGTAATATTAAGTTTTATACTTTTATTTCGATCATATATATATATATATATATATATATATATATATATATATATATATATATATACAGTAGCGTCCAAAACTAAGGGACAAAATTTTAAAACCTAATATTTGTTAGAAATAACAACTGTGAAACGCTGAGATTTTGACAACTGGTAGTCGTTATCATCCATAATAACATACTAAAATTTGAATCATTTGCAAAGGATAGAAAAAGAATTATAACAATTATTTATTTATTATCAAATTTGGAACGTCCAAAAGTTATGGACAAAATTGAGAAAAACAATGTAAACGGCAAAAAAACAATAAAAATACATGTACAATCAATATTTAGTAAATGAGCCCTTGCTCTCAATGATAGCTGCACATCTTCGACTACAAGAACGAATCATTTCTTGACAATCCTCGATACTAATTTTAGACCATTCTTCTTGAAGCTTCACCCACAAATCCTCCGTGTTAGTGGGATTTCTTTCCATAACTTTCACTCCTAAGGTCTTCCAAAGATTTTCTATTGGATTTAAGTCAGGACTTTGCGGTGGCCAATCCATAATTTCCAAATCTTGCTCGCTAAGGTAACTCATTACCACCTTTGCCTTGTGACATGGGGCATTATCTTGCATAAAGGTAGCCCTATCGAAACCTGAATTCTGTATGATTGGCACAACATGATCTTGAACAATGTTTTTATAGATTTGCGCGTTTACACGAGTTTGTAACCGGACAAGAGGCGTTGTACCTTGGCTAGAAAACATTCCAAATACCATGACGCTTCCGCCCCCAAACTTGACAGTTTTCTTAGTACACTTTGCACTTAATCTTTCACCAATACGTCTCTTTTACATTGTTTTTTCCATCATTTCCAAATAAATTAAACTTGCTTTCATCACTGAAAAATACTTTTGCCCAATTTTCATATGTCCAAATTACATACCTGTTTGCAAACTCTAATCTCTTTTTCTTATTCTTCGAACTAACAAGTGGTTTCTTCCCTGGGGTTCGATTAAACAGCCCTATTTCTTGCAGTCGTCAACAAACAGTCTGACTTGACACATTAACACATGAGGTACTATTCATAACCCTTTTAATTTCTGTGCAAGACTTAAAACAGTCCTTTAATGACATACGCTGCATTATTCGATCTTCTCTTGCCGAAGTTTTGCGGGGTCTGCCGGTTTTAAAAGCATTAACTCTTTTGCCAGTATCATTGTAGGATTTAACAACCCTGTCTGCAACACTCTTGGAACGTTTCACTTTCTCTGAAATCTCTCTAATGGTGTGCTTTTCCTTGTGTAGCTTCACAATAGTTTGTCTCGCAGAGTAATCAAGTTTTTTGGCGTTTCGCCATGTTGCCGGCTGATGCAACGTTTACAAATGACTAAGTAAGACTTATTCTTTAGAGGAAATCAAAAGAATTGAATATAGCATACTGTTTACATTGTTTTTCTCAATTTTGTCCCTTACTTTTGGACGATCCTATTTTGAAAATAAATAAATAATTGTTATAATTCTTTTTCTATCCTTTGCAAATGATTCAAATTTTAGTATGTTATTATGGATGATAACGACTTCCAGTTGTCAAAATTTCAGCTTTTCACAGTTGTTATTTCTAACAAATATTAGGTTTTAAAATTTTGTCCCTTAGTTTTGGACGCTACTGTATATATACAGAAAGAGAGAGTGAGAAAGAAAGAGAAAGTGATAGATAGATAGATAGATAGATAGATAGATAGATAGATAGATAGATAGATAGATATTTCCTGTCAGAGCATGACTAACAAGTACAGGCAGCGAACCAATTAATGCGATATAAAACGCTCATTGCATTTCGCGTGATGTTCAACCACGGATTCATAAATCTGAAAAATACGATAAAAAATAAAACACAGACCTTGTGAGTGGAATATTACAGGACTATTTTAGATATTTTGCTCCCTCAACACACACATTTAATATATATATATATATATATATATATATATATATATATATATATATATATATATATAAATGGATTGAACTTTTCAAAATGTTGACCAATAATTTCTAATTATCCTATCCCAAGCCCTGAACCAATTAATCAATGATATGCTAGGCTCAATGCATTTCACGCTATGTCCTGTTCATCGATCAGTAAACATAAAATTAGTAATGTCACTGCGTCAGTTACTGCGCTTTAGCTAGTGCAGTAAATACCTTGATTTGATCGTAGAAGACACGCACCGTGTCACCTGCTCAGACGCGTGAACTTTCGACCACAGACGATCGACTTCGGTCAATGTATTCAATACTATCAAATCTATATTGTGAAATATGCTGGATCTATAATTGTTAAGGCGTGTATTTTCTTGCAGGTTGCACTGACCACTAGGGAAAGTGGGCCCTGTCTTGACTTACCTCATTTGCACAAATTTACTTAGTGAACATTTGCAACAATTTAAAACAGAAAATGTGTTGACATCTTCAATGTTTGAAGCATTATTTAGTAAAGCTTAATATATCATTTGATTTTTTAAGTGTTTTAATAATTAAGAGTTAATTATTGTAAAGTTACGACATTCTACTTAATGAAGTCGTCCTGCGCATGACGTTAAACTACATCCGGCGGCAAGGCCTTTGATCGGGAGATTGGAGACTGTGAACTGCGTAGAACTAGCTCTTAATTGCTCTTGTTCTCATGTTCATGCTGACCCACGGTTGTAGCACCCGTTACGATCACATGTATTGGCAAATAGTGAACCCCCAAACTACAGCAATGCACTGTGAAGATATAAAGATAAATTTTTATAGCAGGGGTGCCAGAAATACATTTTTTGTGTAAAAACTACTTCCAACAGTCTATTTTATTGCGAAATGACCAGTAATACATTTTATCTGTAGTTGAAGGCATACAATTACCTCCAAAATATTTAGATTTCGCCATGAAATAACCCCTAGCGAATGGCATGCCTCTAATCAAAATCACCTTACATGAAAAGATTCTCTCATGCTATTCATCCATATAATATCCTACAATTTCTTAAATCAAGCAGTATTTGGATGGTAGGACTGAGAGCATCACCCTTAGTTAAACGTATGATATGAAAATAGGAATTATTGCAGCCGCCCTTATAACTATAAATTCGACGGCTTGTAGAGATCGGAGAGGCAATGGCAGTTGTATTAAAGAAGTTATTTAAGAAACTTGGGTTAGTTTTAGGATCACATTAGTAGATTAAACTCAATAACACAGAAAGTCGCTGAAAGGATATGACTAAACATATCTCTTCAGCAGGCAGCCAAAAATTCAGTCATAGTCATATTAAGGATTCGGAAGCTGGCGTAGGTTGTAACATGTTATAGCATAAATACTCTTTTTCTCGCTTATCACTACTCCCATCTGCATCACGATAAAATATTCAAAATCCTGGGTATGACGATAATTTACATCCGGCAGCAAGGCCTCTGATCGAGAGATTAGAGGTTTTGAGGAGCGTTGGGCCACGTCATAACTGAGGATGTTCCCAGGTCCACCCTGGTCCGGTGCGCTAGCTGCTGCTGTTGCTAATGATAATAATAATAATAATGATAATAATAATAATAATAATAATCTTATTATTATTATTACTTTATTATCATTGTTATTGTTGTTGTTGATTAAAAAGTGTTTTTGTAGAGGACCGTGTGTGTATTTAGGTGTTTTTGTATTAGAAACACGTGTGTAACTCCTGGTAGAATATTAAAAGATCCGACTACAGGAAAATTGATGGACTTAATTTGTCCAACCGAAGATGAAAGAAGACAAAATAGACAGATATATATATATATATATATATATATATATATATATATATATATATATATATATAAACAAATATGAATTAAACAAATTACAAGGCACATAACATTGTGTGTGTTCTTTGGTGAATGTTATTTTGGTGAATATTTGTAATGTTCATAGCGTTTTCAAGAAATGGGAAACGCTGATCTTCTAAGTGCTTACATCCTGTAGCTGAAATGAAGAAGAAAAAGAGATTTACCTCACCTCCACGCGAGGTGGAATGCGGCACGAGGCCTGAGGGAAAAAAGATTGAGACAAGAGGTCGCCCGGTATTTATAACAAGCGGAGAGAGACCCCTGGTAAAGAATTAGGGAACTAAGGAGGAGGTAAATCCTACATTTCCATTTAGTTTTGAAGGAATAGTTAATAAATCTTTTAATCATTTCACCCCTAGCAAGGTAACAGAGCCACTAAAACGCGGGGTATTACTGTGTGTGAAAGAAAATAAGAAAAAAACATTATTAAGAAGGGATCAAATTAAAGTAATAGAATTTAAGAGGACTGAAGACGAAGATTCACGTTCTATTTAAAAGATCTGAAGATCAGACTTGACTGAAAAGCCAGAAGCCGGAAACTGTTAGTATAGAACTTACATTTAGATATCTCGACAGTAAAATGAGATCTTACCGCCAATCCAGTAATGTGCTTAAATTTATATACTCTAGCTTCCATAGAGGAGAGTTCATCGGAATATTTACCTTAAAAGTATTCATATAAAAAGACCACAGGGAGGCTAAATTACCGCAGTGGGAAGGTGACTGGAGTCGATAACATTCTAGATTCTACTTTGGATTTTATTAGTAGTAGAATTTTTTGAAGCCCGCTAACGCGTGTTGAAATCCTTATAATATTTACCAATTCTATGTTTCGTTCAATTTCGCAAACTGATCGATGAATTTTGAATTAACTGATTTGTTTGGGAAAATACTTTGATAAAACCATACTTTGTGGTTTAATAATTTTTGGAATTTAATTTAATTTAATGGGATTCACGGTAAACAATACTTTTTAAAGATTTTTTTTTTCCTTTTTAACAGCGAAAAATAAATTCTTACAATTTCTTACTCTTGAGCATGCAACATAAAATAAGCCATGTGTAATTGTTTCTTTCTAGAGTGAATTTCCAACTTTTTGAAGCGTTTGATTTTGTAATTTTTTATACTTCTCACAAACGCGGGGTGGAATGGAAACTGGATTCTTGTATATAAAAATTTAAGAAAAATATGAAAAACAATGTCATTTTTATTAAAAAAAAGTACTTGTCATGTTAATCTTTGAATTTTTAAAACAGTGGAATTATTATGTATCTCAATAATAAAACTTATAAGTTTTCTGAAAAATTATTTAAAATTTATAGTATTAAGCTTATGCACTCTAGTATGACCAACTGTACTTTGTATCTCCTTAGTTGTTTGCACTTCTCCCCAAAATAGACTATGCAATGTGTGAGGCTACTTTAGATAGTCTGATGTACGGACAAACGGAATCTTATATGTAGATAAACTAATTCTTCTTATTTTCCATGATCGTCCAAGTTTTGAAGGGAAACCTTACATAAAGAAGAATTCTTTCTCCATTTCTTTTACTTCGCAGATTTTTGTATTTATTGTTTTCATTGACGGTTTCTTTATGATGTTCCTTTTTCAGCTATTTTCCTATATTTCAATTTGTGAATTTCTTTACTTCAATCTTACATTCTTCTGATGATTACGAATAATTTAAAATCGAATAAGCCCTCCTATATTTATTTATTTTGCTGATTTTTTCTCGAAGTTCTTGGGCTAATGGTCATATCAAGTTGAAACAATGATTTCTGTATGATCAGTGAATTTAATCAATATTTGGTCAGTACCTAGATGCGTGACCGTTTGGAATATACCGGGCGCTTCAGGCTTGGATATACCGGTGATGTAATGTACAATGCCTCGGAATTGTTAATCTGAGAGCCGAGTTGGTAATCCAGACAGGTACATTGTACTCACTTTCGCAAAAATACCCTTGGGAAAGGTATGAATCTACGTCTTCTCCTAATTACGGATTGATTAATAAGACTTGTATCACTAAATCATTATTACATTAAAAAAAATTCTTACAATCACAAAATATTTTTCTAGCATTAAATAACCAGCAAATGTTTGAGAAACCGTAAAAAAAAATGACTCGAATTACGCCATATTTTTTTTATTTTCATTTTGACCTGTTATTGGTCTCTTTTCTTACTGTCTACTATATCAATAATATTGATATAATACATACATGCATACATAGATACATATATATATATATATATATATATATATATATATATATATATAATCGACTCTCCCGTCGAGATTCGACGGATGAGGGTCAAGCAGATCAGTTTCCAGGAAACCGACAGCCCGACACCGGCACATGAGATTTGATTATAGTGGTAAAGGCCTCGTGCAGGACCATCCACACTTTTTGAAGGGACGAATACAGAGACCTGGTGCACCGAATGCCACAAGGTTCCCAAACGACCCTCCGCAGGTTTTGAATACAGAGTTGTCCTTCTCCTAGACAAGTTGCCATCCAAGGCTATAGAACCCAGTCTGTCCTGCTATTTTACCCATAGCTGGAGGGAGAGGAAGAGGATTCATACCTTTCCCAAGGGTATTAGCTCGTAAGTGAATGTAATGGATTCGACTGGAATTCGGACTCGGCTCTGCGATTCCTCAATCCAAGCCGCTATCCATTACTCCACCGTGCCTCCACTCTCTCTCTCTCTCTCTCTCTCTCTATATATATATATATATATATATATATATATATATATATATATATATATATATATATATATATATATATATATATAATAATACTTTAATAAAGTTATTGAGTTGCAGAAACTTTCATAGACATTGATTTCTTGATGTAAAACAGTGCAGAGGTCTAAGTTATAATTTGACTTGAATGTCTTAATATCCACCAACTTCCTGTCTGTTTGATTTTTCCATCGGCCATTGCACCGTATTAAAGATTAAAAAAAATAATAATAATCTTTTCAGGTTCTTAATTCTTGATGCCTTGCTGCCAGAAGCGTTATTTCACTTATTGCCCATATCTTTTAGTAATTCGAAATTACTAACCTAACGTGGTGAGGTCGTGTCCATATACCCATGAAGAAGTCTACATAGTTAAGATAACGGTTGAAAAGATCTCAGCCTGACCAAGCACATATTCGAAAAAAAGAACATTTCGATATTTGTCCATTTAATATTATTGGAAAGTATTCGACCCGATAAATTTTCCGCACACTTTGTTTCATATTTTTTATTTTTTTATTTTTATAGAATTTTTTATAGCATAGAAATGAATACTTTGTTTCATATTTTTATTTTTTATTTTTATAGAATTTTTTATAGCATAGAAATGAATACAATATGGGAACCAGTAATAAGGAGTGCCAGAGAAAAGCGATAATAACAAGAAAAATGCAATATGAGCACTGGTAAAATTGTTGCTGAAGACATTAGGTTTATAATAACCAGAAATTTTTCATTTCTCCACACATGCCCCTCAAGGACACTTTTTCATCTGGCACACTAAATAAAGCCCTCT